GTTATTTCTAAGGATTAAGTGTAAATCCTCCCCTCTAATTTAGAATTAAGAACACAATACAGGTATGTAACATTTTCTAGAGGATTTGGAAAAATGTCTGTTATCAATAAGTTTTTGTAAGAATAACTTCTTTTTTGTATTATAAGAAATATAATATTATATGACAAACACAAATACCGTCTAAAACGCTTTCATAAAATGAACTCTTTTGTTCTTCAAGGTACAGCCGTAGTTATAACTTTGTCTTTATTTTAACGATTTACCTCTAAAGATAGTAAGTATCAAATGGGGAATGGTAGTAACAAAATTATTCCAAATATCTATAATATTATTGCTATACTGCAGATAAGAGAATATTACACAGTTATAACAAATCTTGCAAGTCTTTTGTATAAAGTTGTAAATATTTTTTGTGGAGTCATCTACTGCGTTTTATAACCGATATGCCTAAGGATAAGTATTTCTTTATACGTTTTTCTATGGTTATGGATATAAACTTAAAAAGGGACCTTTCCGGTTCGTTTTAGACTAACTGTTCATCTGTCACATGTTGATAGACATCGTCTGATAAACTTTTGCTACCTATGTTATATAGGTTTGAAACATAATATTACATTAGTTACCAATATCTAACCCTCTTTATTTAATTTGGTCGTCACCTTCAGTATGTGAACTCCGCTTACACTTTCCTAGTGTTATTTTCAATTAGCGTTCATGTGGACAATATTTTTATAATTTTCACTTCATTTTTTTTATAATTTTCATTTTTTTTTTTTTTTTTTTTTTTTTTTTTTTTTATTTTTTTTTTTTTTTTTTTTTTTTTTTTTTATTATTATTTTTTTTTATTTTTTTTTTACTTAAACACAAACGCGTCAAATGCGTACATGCACGCTCACCTACATATCCATCATACATACATATAAACACACTTACATCATACTTGTACATAAGACACACACAATATAGTGCAAAATGTTATGTTTATTTCAACACCTTTGTTTTTCTTATAATTTAGATTTTTAAATATGTATCTATTGATAAAATATTGTTTATATATATCATGTTCTAATAATTTTCATCCTTCTATAATAAAAGTACATGTATTGGGAAGGAACTGGCTTCTGTCATACGGCTAATGCTAGTTCAGAAGCCAGGACTACACATAAATACTGAAAGGATTGATATTGTCTGGAATGTGTACCTATTGTATAAATAATATTGTAACGATCCTTCTGAATTTAATAAAGATTATTATTATTATTATTATTATTACTTTGTAATAAAGATAAAAATTTTATCATGCTTCTAAACGTTACCATTATACTTGCTTTTTATATAACAAATCTAAAAGATCTTCAAACTTCTTTTAGATACTTGCATTTAAGTTTTATCGTATTCCGATAGTAAAGTTAAATATTTTATTATATCCCTTGAACTTATCCGTAATGGAATAGTTTCTTTTAAGGGAAGGTCTTTGAATTTCGCTGGGGTTCATAATCTAAAATATTTATAGTATTGTGATCTTTTTTCTTTGTGTATGAGCAAAGATGTGCAAAACAGTTTACTGTATGTATTTTAATAGAAATTTCAAATACTGCATATCTGCAAAATCCAAAATAAGTAATTTTTAACTTTGTATCTATTTTTTTTTATTTCGTATTTAAAAATAGTACCTATGTCAAAATAAAATAGTTTTACAATTCTTAATTTCTTATACTTATTAAGTTTTTATACTATCGAAATTAGTAATCTCGTAGTGAGTTGTTACTATGGTTACTTTTATTATTATTATTTTAGTCCGACGGGTAGGTACTTAAATGGCGCAGCGTCAAACCGCTACCCGGGTTAATGGCTCCACAGGGGTCATATAAATTTGTGAAAACCTTTGAGTTGTGTACCCTTCGGCGTCACATTTCGGCGGATTTTGTATCAAATTTTATCTCAGCTTTGTTTCATTTTCCTGTTGCGATTTTCCCCACAACTGACTTCATAAGCAATATGTTATTACGATTGTATTCTCTACAAGAGAAAGCATATTCTATAGGTATATAAATAGAGTACATACATCTGGTAACAAATACTTTCAGTGCAGCATCTTAATACTCTCACAATGTTGACTGAACCAGCAAAATATTGTTCAGCTAGTCGTGAAAAGACGCACTCGTTTACTGACGAACTTATTTATGTGAGTACATTGTATGACCTCGTGTATAATTGTATTCCCAGAGCTATAATAGATGTAAACGACACACATAAACATACATATGTAGCAATAATTCATGACCACTGGATATAGTCCAGGGCATAATTTGATGCTACGATTAGTTCAGTACCGGATTAAGCAAACGCGGGCCCTGTAGCAAATTCTTACAAGAGATCCTTGATTAGATTTCGACTCTTGAGTTTGGATTTTTAAAACAACAACATTTACGACAAATGTCACACTCCGTTAACATTTTAATATTTTTTTTCGTTATTATTTTTTTATGTTTATGAGTGCGCGCGCCTGTCATTGCCGATTGCTACTCTTTAGTAGGTCAATCCAGCAGTGGATTGGTATAATAATCCATAATTTTGTTGAATATAAACCGATATCAATTGTGAATATTATATACACACAAAATGTATGCTGCCATTGTTAAAGAGTTGTAATGTATTTCTGTCCCTTTCTATATTTGTCAGATACATAAAGGAATAATACTTATAATGACTTAATCTATACGTACTTTCGTGCTATTAGTCGTTAGAGTGATCTGTTGTATGTGTCTTGTTGAGTCTTTGAAGCCGAAAATATAACATCTGACAAATGTATTTGAGATAGCACCATCTTGGAAGTAACATAACGGAAACTGAAAAAGAAATGATATATCCGAACTGTTGAAAATTACATATACTATCAGTATCTTGCAGCGCTACCTGTATGGAATACAGACTATAGGACTCCCATGTACCTGTAGGTGAACCCTACAGATATTTATATTATCAGAACATATAAATACACATGTCCAGTACCTACCATTTGATATAATAAACAAAAGAAAAATTTTATCTTGATAGAGTTATAGTATGATAAATTTGTACACTCCTTACTAAATGTATACAGGAGTAGAAAATCTACGACGGTATACATGTATGTAAAACAATATACAACAACAAGTAACAAAATAACATTAGAAGTACCTATTTTACTTATACTAGTATCTACGTACATGAAAACGTAATATCCTAATAACCTTTTTATAGTTTTCCACATAAAGAAAATTACTTTGAACTGCCGTCTTTAAAGGCAAATGTTTAGTAACAGTCTTGAATGTTGCCACTCCAGTGGAATTCTAAATATATCTTGAAAATACAATAAATTAGAAATGTGGGTTTGAGTTACTCTGTCTTACTCTGTCATTCTATCTAATAAGTATTGCATAATAAAAATTCTAGACCCCAGGGTATGGTATATTCATAAAAAAATTACATCACTTTATACCTAATGGTTTTTATTTCAGTCAGAGACAAAAGGTTTTAAAATTACACCCATAACAGTTACATAATAAGGAATTGAATTTATTGCGCACTAAAAATTGTACAAAACGAGAACATTGTAGAACTGTGCATAACAAAAGGTGTCCTTAGGGCAAAAACCAGTCTGTTACAGACAACCAACATTAAATCATTATCGTGAGTACTGCTATAGGAAAGATTCCGTATGTATTTACCCTAGGTACGCAGGTATATCTTTACAGGTGCTATATCTTTACTGGCAATAAAAACCAATCACGTCGATCTCTGAGTAGTGTCTCGTATCACCATCAAATCATCGTGTTTAATTCTTGGTGAATTCGCCTTCAACCTCGAAGTGACCTAATTTTATCTTCAGTTCAATCTCAAATGTTGTCCCGCCTGCGAACATTACCTCAGCGGGATAGCCGAGTATGTATAGCAATGAAAGTGATATTAAAAACAACATTTAATTATGTTCACATAATCTATGTATAACACAGTAGCAGCACCTTATAGTACTATGTACTAATACACTTAATATTACCTATTTATAGTACTATGTAAGTGTTACATTATATTCTTAAAACACATTACATAGTACTATAAATAGATAAAAAATAATAATATGATTTGGTGAACAGTAGCAAATATAAATAATAGGGCATAGTAGATATATGGTATCCTGCTTGTTATAAGTACATATTGCATTATGTATAAATAAACTTCTCTTATATATTGGCCCAACTATACTTTCCGTTAGGCATGTATAGCAATGATATATAGAAAGGCTAAATGTAGTAACAATATATCTTTACAAGACTATATGTATACCTTAAAAAGTTGTCTGCGTATACCTATTTCAACCGCCAAACAGCTTAGTATGAGCACAGATAACATAATATTACATACAGATACCCCATTCCAACGAGTATGCTGTGTTTGGGTTATAGGGTCAGATTAGGCAGTGTAATTAGCATAAGCAATGCATGAGTAGTATAACCGGCGTCATATGACAACGTAATGTCCTTAGTACTGTCAATGCGACGGTTAAAGCTTACCATCAGCTTATTTGCCATTCCATTTATATAAAAAACCTAACTGACCGCGCAAACGTCATTTCTCCATATAAATTAAAATCACTATTATAAAATAGGGGAAATATGGTAGAAAAAATAAATACAATATATAGGGATACCTTTCAATGATAAGGACGACCCTTATGAAAATTAGATGTTGGCCGATTCTCTGACTATAGGTCAGAGAATCGGCATGCACACAAAATTTCATAAAAATTGGTAAAACCGTTTTGGAGGAGTTTGGTAACAGCGACCTGAGAATTTTATATAATAAATATACTACACATAGTTACTAGTTAAACATGTTTTAATTAAAACATTTTGTCCATAGATGCATAAGGAAGAGATTGTAACAATGTTGGCAGCGTAACTTAAGAAGAAGGTTCAGTTTCAATTTAGCGTCGGTCGAAGATATTCAAAATGGCGATAATGGGTAAGTAGTTACATCTACTAGCTGCGCAACTAGTCAGTATGCCTAAATTATAATTTCAATTGTGGTAGCTAATAAGCAATTATCATATATAATTAAATTCTATCTACGTATAATTTGTGTACACAAAAGCTTTCATCACGTATAACGCCATGTTACTACACGTACCAGCGTTTATTTATTCAAAATATGTATATAAGTTAAGAATCAATTCTTGTGTTTTTTAGAAATTTTATATTTTAATTTTATTATTGTTAATAAACTAATATGTATTATGAGAATTATACCTATTAATTAAAATATTAAAACAGGACATAAAAAAATTTAGATGTTATTATATTAGATAGATTAATATTAGATAATATAAAATCAATACAATATACATATATAATATACAATATATTTTTTATATTGTCTGTTTGGATTGAGAAATGTTAACGCTTTTTATAACACTGTTAATTTCTCTTCTATATGTAAAAGATACTAACTACTCTTATATTTTATGAAATAAATGTTGTGAATTAAAAATTCTATAAGACTACTAGAATATTGTCTGAGCAAAATCGGAAAGACCCACTAGTGTTATACCTATACTTACATTAAAGTTGAGGGTCGACGTCAATTGGTGGAAACATTACCCTACATATCGTCAAGCTGAAACCTGTATTAATGTCGTTTACGAGAAGGGTTTAATTAGGTTTTCCGCTAAGCAACGCGGGTTGATAGCAGAAAACGGATGTTTGATTAATCAGGTTTAGAATTAGTTGACGTCTTATTCACCCTATATAGAGACATATCAACATGGGCTTAAGACATTGTATGGAAATCCGTCGTTATCGGAGTTAACAATATGAAAATGTATGTACCTAGAAGTATAAAAATACTTCTACAGCGTGGTTATTGAAGATGATGATAATTGGTATTGTCAATTTGATTGCTGACTTTTTTATAATTTCCTATAATATATTATAATAGTCACACTATGAAGTTACTTTACTAGAAATTTAAAAAGGGTATAAAATTTCTCTAAATCGGCTCATATTGTCCAAAGAATATTATTAGGTACATTTTTGAATGCAATAAAGAATAAAAAAATAATATTTGGGATATTCATTTTAAATACAGAAATTATTTCAATTAATTAAATTACATTCACAATAAGATTAAATTTAATAATTTACATTTAGAATACTGTATCACTATTGGTATTATGCAGGTCGGGTGAGTATACGGACAAGTGCCGTGGTGCTTGTGACAGCGAGCGAGGTGTCGGCGCGCGTCGCCGGCAAGATGGGCGGCTACTCCAACAAGAAGGGAGGTCAGTAAGAGAACGTATAAGTATTATTAAACCATTGGTAAAGACACACAGATTTGTAGATAATTAAAATAATATATTAGGAACTACTAATTAACTGTAATCCCTACTACATGGTTACTGTTGATAATAACTATACATGTATTACATTACATAGTACAGTAAAAAAAGAATGTCATGTCACAATATTATAAAATTTAAAAAAATATTTTATGTTAATTGTTTCAGTGCATGTAAATACGTTTTAAAATTAGGTACTAAGGCAGTCCGCTCATTCCTTACATTAGGAATGTAAGGAACCTCTACCTATTAAACCATCCTGAGACAACTACTGCAACATGTCTACAAATATAACTACTACAACATAGCTTCAAGTGAAACATTATGAGAATCTTGCACTTGTTAGTTAACAACTATTCTATGATACGTTTTCGTTTTTTAGGAAAATCGACAAGCGGCATAAACGAAGAGATCATCTGGATCAGCATAAGTATGGCGATAGCTATAGCAGTGCTTATAGCTATTGCGCTCTGCTACATACTTAAGGAGAAATGCTCAAAAAGACAAGCGTACAAAGAGCAATCATGACGATACAAAGAGGAGTTTGCGAAACACGCCCTCGCATCCTCCATGACTGAGTTGGAATTCCCGTCGTACACTTTGTATCCACAGTATTCTCCTGACGGCAAGGAATATTATTACAATTTCCATCGCTTTTCATATTTAAGAAATAGCTTCAAGCTACCGCCTAAAGATTATCCAATCAAACAGAAGGAGGAGGTATACATCAATGCGTGATGCCATTTCTTACAATGTATTATTTTTGTATTCATACTATAAAGCAAACAGGCATCGAAATTTAAAAGTTCATAATTGAGTAAAAAAATGTTTTCAGATGAGTAATATCCACATGACAAATAAGGACAGAAATATATTAATGACATTTTAAGCAGCTGTTACACAATTAAGGTGACATTTAAAAAGTTAGTCTTTTCTGATGATTATATTTAGGTTGTTCCAACTTCAATAAATTGTTACTTATTAGGTACCTTCATCCAAATATCATAGTAATGCGTGTAGCTGTTTCAATTATATAATTTCTGGACAGCAGAAAAATTCTCAATGCGAATAGGCTCTAATGCCCAAAGCCTCGAGTTTAACTACCACACGGAAAGCACGTGAAATGAGGCTTGATTGTTATCATTTGATTAAAATGTCAGTCCTATTGGTACATAAATGTTCTTGAAATGTTTGGGTTTTGTATCTGTAGACTAAGAGAAATCAGTTTCTGCTATTGAATATTTTTTTATTGAGAATTTCTGAACTTAAATTCTAATTTGTAAGTTGAATATCCTTGAATTTTAGATAACGTATCCCGGAGCTTGCGTAACGACAAAAATGAAACGAAATTTCATATTTGCTTATTCTATAGCTAGACGTTTGCATATTTATAATGATGGTCGCTACATTCTCCCTGATTTAATTTAAAACTGTATTTTTATAGTCATATACCATTTTATTTGAATAGAGAAAGAGCCGAGTTTCTGTTCAGTTGTTGTCAGTTCCAAATTCTTTAATAACTGACGCTTGATTTACGTGTGTGATATGACCTACATGAATATATACTATTTAATTATCTATATGAATGTAAAATTTAAATTCTAAAATTAGCATAACTAAATAGTTTCGCAATTGTGTTTGTATATTACGTAATTACAATTTAATACTTAGTATCATACAATCACGTCAAACAAATTATTTCTATTTTAAGTCTCACAAAGTCGCGATATATAATAAACCAGAAGTATAAATATCATGTGTATTTTGTGTTCCAGTATTATATCTGAGTAAATATAGAAATATCCAATATAAATGTTGGCTCTTTGTGAATGTTGTGTGTTCAAAAGTACCAAATTATTCAGTTAACACGAAAAATAAAAATATATTGTTTATAACAATAGAGATAAAGATATCGATGTATAGGTAGTAGCTTGAACGCTTTTGATCTCGATTTTCCTGTTGCAATAATATATATGCCTTTAATCAGGGCTGTCAGCCTAACACAAAACAAATCAAATTTATGTATTTAAGTACTTAACAATAAAAACCGCAGCTCTGATGTCTTGAAAAAGAAGATATGGTGGTTCAGCTTGTGTCCACCTAGAATAACTTAAAATATTGTTAGACTGTAAAATACCTTTATATGGAATAGTTGAATTATATTATGTGTGGTATTGTATGTAAAATATATTATATAATTTTTTATTTCGGTCAGTGGTTCAAACGTTAACTAGGCTTTAACCACTATTTCACTCATATACAGTCACTAGCAGTAGTAATTGAATTATAAATAAATTTTATATATAACTGTGATAGTAAGACCACGATACTGGTTAATAAAATTATATAAAGATTAAATGTACATAGTAAACTGATAACTGTGTAAAGTTAGACGTAACGTAACACTTAAAATAAAGTGGTAAACTCTTGGGTAGTAGTTGTAACTTGTTAATTAAATTAGATCCTTAAAACTAGTGGACTAAAAGGCAAGTTACAGTAATGGTAGATAATCTCTATCATTCTCTGTCACATGAACTCATAAATTTGTATAAATTGGCATAAAATTGTATTCAAACAACTGCGACAATTAGGCCGTATATAAGTTTCCAGCTGCTATTCTACGTAGGATGCAGATTCTTAAACAAAAAATAAATATGAATAGTTTATTATAGCTATATCTATAAGTTATTAAAAACAATATAACGAAACCATCTTTCTAAGATTTAGTAATGGATTAACAACATATTTGTTAGTGCAGCTTTATCGATAAAATTGTCTGTATTTAAACTCTGTCTCATGTATTAGGTACCTACTACTGTTACTAGCTTCTTTTGCTCCAGAATAATAATGCTTCAAACCAAATTAAGGACTAACAATTATTGCATATTGTAACTATTTGCGTGACCTATAAACTAATTGATTAATATGCATGAACTAGAAAGGTGACTTGGTATCATCTATATATTTTAGAATGATTTTAAGTACATAACTTTATAAATCTCAATAAAGATAATTATTGTACGTAAGCACCCAATGATTTTTTTTAATTATTTACTGAAAAAATATTGTATTTATTGTAAATAATTATATACAATTTGTAATACTTACTAGCAACTCTGTCGTGTCATGTGTATAGGTGTGCCAAAGAATAGAGATATCTAAGTTGTGACGAATTAATTATATTAGCAGGTACTTATGTAATATAATTATTACTATCATGCATATTTGTAATACTAAATATTATTATATTTATGGATGTATAAACGAATTGTATAACACGAATTCATTAATTAATATATTTTAAGTACATGATTTAATGCTGACCAATTGTCGATTTTAGGTTACGATTAAATGTTCAATAAGTATTGTGTGTGTCTTTTTATTTAAATTTGGATAGAATAAAGTAATTACTATAATAAACAAATGCTATAATAATATTGCAATTTTGTGATGCCAAGCGAACTGCTTCCCATTAGCCTGTGCATTAGCTAATTAGATATACAAGTATGAAGATTGAAGAAAATAATAACTAGCAAGGTAAGGCACAATATCGAGCACGCACTTGAGTTCGGAAGTATTTGTTTAACGTTCACCGTAAAAAGTTTACTGGAACGTGGCATCCATAATGATGTTGCAATTTACTCTGCCTCAGCCCGACACAACTCCAACGCTTCCATTAATTCCTTTTTAAATTCTGCACATAACAATTCTATGATATAATAATTATTATTTTTCGTCATTTCATGTTAATCTACTTTATTATTATTAGTAGATATTAATTATGAAATATCACTTCTTGAAGCCTGGTATTAATAAACATGTTATGGATTTTATTATACTCCGTATCCAAATAACCAGAGCAATAATACCCTTGTAATTTAATACGTGTCTCACTTTCTCCCTAAGAACAATTTATTGTTCTTCATATCCGCTAAAGGTTCCTGACATTAGTCATGTGCTACGCCTTCTGGGGTCAAAAGTGTCTTATCTATATATACATGTTATGTATTTAAGAGAACTGACCTACCTTACTTTTAGTTTATCTAGCCTATAGAAAACTTTTAAAAGATATATATCAATGTAAATAAATGCATATTTTTACCGCACATAACCTTCCTAAACTAAACCGATGCGGTAAATCATCTTATCATTATTTTACTACCTCGTCCATATAATAATGGAAGAAAAAGGTTATCAATGGGATACATACTATAAATCTTTACCGTACGGTACTATAACAGATATAACAATGGAAGAAAAACTTGATGAGAAATCGTCACTCTAGTCCCCTGGGAACCTGCGAGGGCCATGATATAGGATGCCACATATAGACGATGTAGGGACACCCTTGTACCCACCCCATCTCGGGGGCATAGCTATGGAGGCCAGAGCAGCTGTCGAATCCGCACAAAAATGGTGTATAATCCGAGGGAATAATTATATTTACCTATACTGTGTGCTGTAAAAAAAAGTACACCAATTCGGACGTATTAAAAAAAAGTTTAGCTTGTTCTGATAAATCTCTTAAAAATAAATATATATTATTTGTAAATCTCTACTTTTTTGTTCTGTAAGAATCTTACAGTGCTACATAGCGCCGCCCACCCACCACACATAATATACATCCCTCCTTACTTATAGATAACGCAGTTTTGAAAGGATTTTAAAACTTGTTTCTTTTTTAAATTAATACGTCGCTTTTTGTTTAACACATTTATGTAGCTTTTTTTGTATGTATTTTTCTGTGCCCAATACATACTTATATTATATTATATTTCTAAACTATTTTTATTATTTATAATTTTTCTTGTTTAAAACAGTTATTTGTATGTATATTAAAGAAAAAAAACATGTTTATAAAAATTATATTTATAATATCTATTGGAAACATGTTATTAATATTGGAGACCTAAAGACACGTAAAATTGATTTTAAATATAAAATTATTGTAAACAATTATCGTCACTATTTACATTTCATTTATATCTATGTAGTGAGTGAATAAGATCGTATAGAGTGGCTATTCATTGAGGTTCCGTGGAATCAAAATAAATGTCACCCGGCTAATTGCGGTAGCCCGCAGCTATATGGAAAGTTTCCTCTGTTGATTACACTAGCCTTTCTTTTGATTGGAGCTCTGTATACTTATATACCTACAGGTATAGCTGTGTAATTTATGTGATGTCCATTTATTATTAAACAATAGAGTAAAGTAATCTATACCTTTTTTAGTTTTGGTTAGGCTATGTTTCATTAATGAAATTAAACAGATTTACGAAAATCAGAAATGTATGTATTTATAAAAGGACACTAGCTGTGCTTCATAATCCTCTATGTGTTCATAAATAGGTATTTGGAATAATATGTTCAGAAATTATGTGATGTTAAAATTTCTTTAATCTACTGTAATCACCTTATTTGTAATTCAAATAACATCTAAAATGACTTTCTTATCTGAGCATATTGTGATAAAAAATGTAAATTTAGAAATATTATTAATTACAGGATATTTTTATTAGCTTCTCACAACATTAGCTTCTTTTTCTCTTGCTTTTGACATTTCATAGGATTTGTTATTCTATTTATAAACATATTAACATTCAGAATAAATAATTAAAAACAACAATTACAAACAAGGGACGCAATTAAAAATAATTTGGATAGATAAAGGATTATTTGTACCTTCAGTACACACATAATGGCAATACAAAAGAGACGTGAGACCAAAAAAATCTTCACGTACATTTAA